CACAAAAGAAGATATCGGTGCAAATCATTTAAGAAAATATTTTAAACGTTTATTACTTGTATTTGCTATTGTGCAAATGTTATAAATTCAATGATTCACAAAAATACAAGTGATATATATGATAATTACATAACACTGGTTCTATTAATTCTATTTAGTATACTTACCATATTATTGCCATTAAACTATTTGATAAGTTGCATTAACTAAACTGCACACTTAGTTGTTATTCACTTACTGATCGCCTGTTATGATTACATGTGGCGATGCTTGTATATATTTTTGTGCCTTCCGATAATTTCTACGTCATGTAACCTTCAATATGATTAAATATGACCCCAAGATCCTGCATTCGTGTTTTGCCTCGTCACAAATTGGAAATTTGTGATTTATGGACTCTTGGATGAAAAATATAAGCGCTGTGTTTATAGGAACTAATAGATTTATCGTAAGCAACAGGTATTGTTTGAAACAATACAGCTTCCAATTAACTAGAATTTATTGAACTGATAAAATATTAAATGTAATTGAGGCTTACATTATGACTTTTGAAATTCGAGCATGTAGTTGTAAATTTGATCTATTGTAAAATATAAATAATTTATGCCACCGAAGTTGGTACTACACACAAATTACATAATATTCACAGAATTTAAAAAAATTTCCCATACGTTTTTACAAGCAATGTTAACAAAACAAAAAAAAGTACCATCCAGACCTCTGTACGATTTTGCTCTAGGTGGTGGCCCTTTTAAAAATAAATATGATCACAATATTCGGTTATAAAGTTATTAACGTTTTTTAAGATAGCAAGATTATGGTTAGGTTGTGCTATTTGTGCCTTTAATTGTGCCTTCATTGCACTATAAATTATGTATAATTCTAGGTTAAGTTTGCAATAACATCATGCTAGGACGTCCAATTCGATTTAGACGTTTTTAAGTACTACCAAATATTTCCATATGAAATAGGAGCAAATACTACTAAAAAACAATGAAAATTAAAAAAATCAAAAGATATGCGACTTCTATGAATTGTCTTGAAGGTTCTATTTTACATAAATAGACTCAAAGATCAATAATTATGGTAACTTCATCCTAATATTTTTTAAAAAAAATTACGCATGTTATATTTGATTTTCAAGTTTTTTGCAATTATATTTTTTTATTTGCATTGTGTTCTTGTCAGAAATTCTGAATATGAATTATAACCAGTTCTAAAATCCTGCTAACAAATGCTGCATTCAAAAACATCTTGTTGTAATGGGCCGAAAATCGGAATTGAAAAATTTTTTTTTATTGGATCGACTGTTCAAAAAACAAACAATTATTAATATATGATCATACACACTTAAAAACGATCAAACTATTTATTTATCGACTGACTGTGCAAAAAGCAAACAAATTAATAATACACGCATACAAATGATCAAATATTTTATCCAAATTATTGATTTTTCATTTTGCATACGGCACATATTATGATAAAGTTTTTGCCCCTTGTGGTATTTTTGTTGCTCGAGTAATTTGAGCAAAAATTTTTGTTTCTCATTGTAACATGTTTGTTATTGTAATTAAATTTGATTATTGTTTCCTTCAAATTTTACTTTAATAACATATTCTTGTCATACTGTTAATTACAAAATCAAGGTATATGAGATATGGAAATAATATATCAATAAGAAAAAAATAAATATTTTGTTTTTGATTATTGGCAAAAAATTCAAAGCTTTTATTTTGTTGACATGTTATTTTGTATTTGCCCTATAAAAAGCACATTATTATAAAGGTTCTTGATCATCTAGGTAATCCTCCACTTCTGGAAGATGTAGAAACCCTGTAATTCCTTATGGAGCTACTTGATAGTTTATAAAAATTTATTGTGACTTTAGTATAACTAATACGTACAATATTATTATCATAAAAATAAACAAATGTTGAGACTTATTTTGGATAGAAGCATCTGCAGTTAATATACAATGAATGTAACAAATGAAAAAAACACTATCGAGTCCAAAGGAATTTATTCTTCAAGGTTCGAATCTTCCTGACAAAATAGATTGACTCACACAGACATTTGCTCTATACAAGAGAAAAAAGTTCTCATTTTGAATTAATTTGACGAGTAAATATTAGAATAAAAAGTAGCATTTATTTATGAGCAATTTTAGATTCGAACTTTGGAGAAAGTAAAATCAGAGTCGATTAATCAACCGATAGATAAAAATCATCATTTTTGTTACAAAGTCATATGATATCATATAGTAGTATATATGATATCATATTGAAGTATTTTCAAAATATTTGTTTTATGCGGTTGACATAAATATGACAACAAAAAAATGTAGTTAAAATTTAGAAGTTATTTATTTGAGCAAAACATCAACAGGATACAAATTTTTAAAATTTGTATGTCTGTATATATATTTTTGTTCTGCTCTGTAAAGATAAAAAAAATTATATAATCTAGATTTTTAAGCAAGGGTGGTTCTTGATTCTTACAAACCCGAAATTAAAAAAGTAACTAGCCGAATTTATTGAGTTCTTTTTGCTTCTACTATTTTGGAGAATCGATTCTTCAAACATTTTAGAAAATTTGACAAATACAGTATGATTTTAACATATGACGAATAAGTATGATTTATTTTCATTGGCAGAACTATTCTCAAAATGGATATTATATGCAGAATTACTGGCAAAATCGTTCTGGAAACAAAATTTAATTCGCTAAATACAAATTAATAAAATAATTCAAAGATATATTTTGAAGGTAAATATGTTTATTTATTAAAGTTATTTTGCGTGAAATAGATTTCATTATTTTATTAAATTATTTATGAAAGTAATTTTTTGTCCTCGATTTTATTACTGCACTCAGGCAATTAATTTCAGGTCAGATGTTTATTTACTTAAATATTAAAAAAATTATAAATAAAATTTAGGAAAAATGATAGTTTATACACCGTATCTAAGAAAAGGAAACTTTAAATTCTGTTTGCGCGCTGGTAGAGTGCAAATTGTTACTTGACATTGACTCATTGTCAACAGGTAGTAGAAAGAGTAATCATGTAATTGAACTAATTTAGCTCTCAGATGGAAAATGTTGAGGCTTGTTTTGCGAGAATGATTATACCAGAGAGGGAATTTGCAACAATTTACACATAAAAATAATAACAATATATATGAACTCAAAGAACTGGTGTATGTGCACAAACGTGCAGCATTAAGATGCTCTTTTTTGATAAAAATGAACTTTATTTAGATTTAAATATTTTCGACAAATTAGTCGAATTAAAAGGATATAATTATAGGGATAATAGAGATTAGTAGTAAGTGTCTCATTTTAACAATGACTATTGATCGGATAAGAATATTCTTCTTAGAAAAATATGTTAGCTACGGAAAGATGGCGGCCATGGCGCTATTCTTTATATATAGAGTGAAAAATTTAGGATGTTGTGATTGCTTGCCTTATGAAGGACCAATTGTAAATACTTTGATTATAACTGTATATATTTATTTTATATTAATAACAAGTTATAAGTATATTTACAATAATTTTAATACTGTTTTTGATTACGTTCTGACTGATTGATTGATTTGTATAAATTTCGATAGATGATTTTTTGTTTATATATCGATATAACCGCATGCTTTGATTGGCGCGAACATAGAGTATGGAATATAACAAAATAAATATAAATGTTCTAGTGAGTAATTAATGTACTTGTAAATAAGGAGATCACATATAGAAATCAAAAGCTTCAACGACAGTTAATAAAAGTTTTTAAAGTTAATAAGGGATATCAACGTGTGTTAATAAAGAATGGCCAGAGACTTAACAAATAATTTTTTTTCATACCAAATGCACTAATATTGTGTAGATAATCAAAATTGTCACCTTGAGAATTATAAAACCCGGATTACATAATTTCAGTCTTTCGATCAGGTTCTTGTAATATAGAGGTCTGGATCAATGCATTCAAGTAGTCTTATACAATCCTCTCTCAAGTGGTCAAACAGCTTACATAGCACACATTACATCCTTTTTTACGAAAATGCAAAAAAATTATTATGATCTTATTTTCTTAATTAATTTTCTCTTCATAAATGCACGATATAAAATCATAAATCAGATTATATTTTTAAATGTATGCGATATATATGCTACACGTCAGTTTGACAAAACAGATAAAATTGCTATTAGAAATTTAATAACAGCTATTATTATATTATTTTTAACATATAAGAATTATTACAAATACAAGCTATAGGACAACTATCCTATAACTAAATATAGCCAATATATAGTAATCCTATACTATTATTAACATGAAAATTAACGAAACTACTATTCCAAAATCTGTTTTTCTAATTTGGATCAAATATTGTAGAAAAAATATTGCAATGAAGAAAGTTGTAGATACCAAATCAAGAATTAATTAAAAAATGTATTAAAAAAATCGCATGTACAATGAGATTATATTTAAGAATCTGGATCTGGTTTTGAAGAGGAAGATGTTGCGATGTGCAAGAGTTTCAACTTAAAATAAAATAATATATTATTATCTTCTATAAAAAATAAAAATAATTTTTCTTACCATTGTATACAAACAAACTACTAATATATAAATTTATGATTATATATAAGTTATTTATATTTGCTTAAAAAAGTTTAAAATATTCTTGAAAAAAGATATTATTATGCTAACAAGATAAAATACCTAGTAAGTAATATAAAGATTTTTTCTTCAATTTTAGTTATATATGCTGTATTGAGCGCTGCTTATTTGTAAAGACGACGTTACTATTTTGAAGAAATTCATTAATTGTCTTTCTGTAAATTAAAAAAACGAAATTTATTCAATACAAAAGTCGAGAGATATAATTTAGATTTATTAAAAAAGTCTTGTGAATATGAGAATCTGGATGAACCCTGATCTCCCCTATAATATCTATATAAATGATGAAGAGAAGTTGAATAAATCGCAATGCAGTTTTAAACAGAGAAGTGAATAATATAAGTGAGTAAATTAGAGCTATTTTTATAAGTGCACACGTAGAAAAAACAGTGTTTCGCGTTTTTAAAGATTTATAAATTTATATTATAAGTAAATACATATATATAATATTTTTAATAATTAATTTAAATGTTTGTATACTAAGACAAAAAATATAAGTTCAAGATGTATTTAGTTTATTTGTATTAATTATAGTGCATATTATTATGCAATTATTAATAAAAAATTGGATCACAAGAAATGCTACACATTTTAGAGAAAAAATTGTTCTCCGATTTGCGAATATTTTTCATATTCCTCATTTTTATTCCAAATTTTAGTACTCAGGAACACAATTTATCATATTAAATACAACTGAAATTAAAAGTTTTAAATAAAAATGAGTTTAAAAATATATAACTATATAATTAATGCTGTAAATTAATGAAGTTGAATAAGTATTGAAAATTTTGACAATATAAAAGCAACCTTTAGTTTCTGTTTTATTCATAGCTATTTATTATTTGTATAGTATTTATACTTTAAAATAATTTAGTAAGATGTATTATAATATAGGTTAAAACGTATTTAATATGAAGCAAGTATAGGGTTAAGGTTATTATACGAGCTTGATTTAAAATAATTAAAATAATTAAAATTGATACTAAATATTAGTAAAACTTCTTAACATATATCATTAATTATAATAATTTATGAAATTTTAATTACAAAAAATTAAAACAATGAAATTTTATATTACTTCTGCAGGTATCGAATATGTCAATAAAAATAACTTTACTTGTTGGATTTATTATTTCAACGGGTTGCATTTCTTCGGATGATGTAAATGAAGATTTGTGCGGTAGAATCGATCTGGATGGACCAGTCCAGGCCATTCAATACAAATTAGAAAATCTCTACACTGGAACAGAAAAAGAAACAGATTCCAGTGTAAAAGAAATCAAATCAAATTTTGAAGATCTTTCTTTAAAAGCTGATAAAATATCGGATGATTGTGAACGGAAGACTCCTAAACTCCTTGGTTTTATCAACCAGATGAACCAGGCCAAACAATGCATAGAAGCTTTATCGAAAAGAAATCAGGCGGAGGCCCAAACTGAATGTCAATCTGTACACGATGAAGCTAAACTTAATTTTGTAGTTCGTTCTGTAGCTAATAATGCCGAAGGCTATGAAGAAATTCTCGAATGTGCTCATACATTTACAGATTTAGTGCAAAGAGTGAAGATTTATAGAGCTATACTTCGGGAATGGGATAAAGGAGATGAAAATACAAACAGGAAATTTTTTGTTACCGTACAGTATTTGATTAAAGAGAAAAATGCACCAGTGAGAGACCTACGCGATATTTTAAAAACCATTGCTGTACGTTCGATCTTAGATAAAAATTTGAAATTCACAAATTCTACCTTGATGAATGAATTATTCGATTACGACTATATAATTGCAATTGCAGTAGTTGATGAACTTATGACCAAACTTTACAACCAAAACAAACATACTGCTAAACACTTGCTCTATCTTCCATCCATTCCAAGCAGGGTTGCTGCCTCAATATCCTTCTACAACAAAACCAAAGAAAACATAGACAATGATTTATCCAAGAAATTATTCCAAATAATGTACGTCACCAGACTACATCCTGATTTTGGTAAAGTCGATCAAAAATCGAAGCAGCTTTTAGGCGGCATTATGAAAAACTTAACCAAAGATATGCCAAATTTAAAAGGATTCGGCGAGGTATGCTTCGATACTCAAGACACAAAAATTGATGAAAATGATAATAAGACTGAACAAATATTTGTAAAATCTGCATCTAAAAATGACAACTTGCATGACTGGCAGTTCACTCCGGATGAAAAGGGAAGTATATTACAAATTAGTTTTCCAGGAGAGCCATCGACATTAATTTTTGTTAATAAAAATGACTATCCACCATTCGAAGAAGCACCTTCCTTCTTTAGTTCAAACAACGTATCAGGTAATTGGGAAAGGTTGAATGCTGATGACATTTGTTCTAAAACTGATTACAGAGACTTCATATGCTTTGATGGTAATAACTTTCTGAGTCCTGATGCATTTGATAACGAAAAAATTAAAGAACGAAAATTAACTTACAAGGCAAGGAAAAACGATAGAGAAACTATGTGTCCCAAAATATAGGAAAAACAAGAATTATCAAAATAATCTAAATATATTTACAATGTAATAAAATATTATATATAAAAATAAAAAAACGTCATAATTCAGTCAAGTTGAATTATTGCTCTGCTTAAGAAGTTTATTGCACTTTTGCAATCATATTGAAGCAAATTTGTTGCAGATTTTATTCTAAATAATCAACTTTTAGTTTTAAAATATTGCACACTTAACATTCTATAAATAGATTTATTTAGTTCAAAAATAATTATTATTGGGTTTTGGATTTTTCTAATTAATCAAAGTTTACTTAATGATTTTTGTTCATACTGCTCAAAGTACCATAATTTGAATGAACAGTTGAATGTATATTTATATTGAATATATACATTTTTGTAAGATATTAAATGCTTTCCATGATATTGATGAAATCTAAAAAATGTCATATAAAAAGGACGATAATGTAAAGTTTTCAAATTTAAAAATACAACTAAAAGAAGATATATTTATTGTATTATATTATGTTTAGCACAATACTTTCATATTAGTAGTTGCTTTGTCAGTAAAATACAATAATATTTCAATAACTAAGTTATTAAAAAAAATGATAAAAAAATAAAATATACAATACAAAGTTTCTCACAATATATTCAGCGATCATGAATAATTAATTTACTTCTTATGTTATAGAATTGTTATATACTATAAAAATCTTACAGACAAGTATTTCACAAGAAATAAATTTTAATATTTTTAATTATATTAAAAATTCATGTGTCACCATACTATTCAAGCAAAAATGATATAAATACAAATTTGAAAAAGTCTTGTATTAAAATCAGATATCAATTTTTTTAGCGAGAGCTTGTAAAAAAGTAGCTATTTAAAAAATATCCGTTTATTTAAATAATAAAATTTTATATTTTTTTATAAATTATAAAACCGAAAATATATTACTATTTATGCTAATAATATAATGAATCTTTTGGAAATCCAAATTTTCAACTTTCAACAAATTTTGTTGGTTAATTTATAGTATTACATACAAATTGAAATAACAAAGATGTAATAATTTATAGTCATTTGTATTGGTTAAATTTATACTTGAATTATAATTTAAAAAGCAAAATTTTTTAAAATGCGAATTAAAATCCAAACGCACAAATTCAAAATATAGTAATTTTAATTTTAAATGCCTCTTTTTTGTTTTTATTTTTGTTTTATTACAATAGAATACAATATAATTCACAATAATGATTCATGAGTCTACTACTAAAAGTATTAAAAACATGTTTGGTTCCCAAATAAAAATAAAGATTCATCTTATTTCAGATCTTGTTTTTTCATACAATCTTTAGTAATTCTAGTTAAATTCTAATAAATTTATTCTAAAATTTTTGGTAGTGTCAACAAATCATTTACTACGAACATATTTTTGTTTTATTTTATTTTTCTAACAATTCTAAATTCTTATATTTCTGCAAAGATAAAAAAATGTAATATATGTTGTAAAACCAATAAAATGCAGTAATAATATAAAAATATTAAGTACATAAAATAATTACATAAAATAATTTAATAATAATGAGTATTAAATTCAGGATTTGTGATCGAATGACTTTATTTAGATATTTTTCAACATTATGTAAAAATTTCACTCAGAAGATTACCGTTAAATTTTTATATGTGCGATAGTAGTGATTTTCAGTAATTAATAATAATTATTTATTAAGTGAATAAATCTTATTACTGAATAAACTAGTGGGGTGGGTGGCATCGTGCCTTAAGGCAAATTGCTGGAACTTCCCGTACCGTAACGAAATGTTCGAGGAATAATGAATGTTTTCAAATAGATTATTAAAAATTAATATTGTAACATTGTCTAATATTTATAAGAATTATATAAACTGAATTGCAGAGTTGAAATTATTTGTTTAAAGTATATTAGAACTATAGTCAGAATTAAAAATAAAATCTGAATTATTTTCGAAATACAAAAAATTAAAAAAAAAAAAAAAAAAAAAAAAAAAAAAAAAAAAAAAAATGGTACAAAATTTTTTTTTCCAAAATCAATTATTTTGTTAAGACAAGCAGAAAGTTCTTTGAATCAATTGAATCGGACGCTTAGTTCTCTCAAAAACTGCCATTTTTTGTACATTTAGCTCTGTATCTCCGAAATGGCTGGGCCTGCCTTTGCGAAAAACTAATAACCCTTTCTCCCAATCATTACTAATGGAATGTTTTTTAGATAATTCAAATCGGATGCTCCGTTCTCTCAAAAACTCGATTTCTATTTTCTGCACTCTTTGCTCCTTATCTCCGTAACTGCTGGACCTGTCTTTGCCAAAAACTAATCAGCTCTTCTCCTTATTAATAGGAATCGAATGTTTTTTAAACCATTCAAATCGGTTGATCCGTACGCCCGAAAACGTGGACGAAAATTTGTATCCATACATACATACACACACACACACACACACACACACACACACACACACACATCCATTTTTTCTGAGGTATGCCAAAACGTTCAGAAACCTTCAAAACGTCGAGAAATGTAAAAATTTTCAATTCCGATTTTCGGCCCATTACAATAACTTACCCTACGGGAAGTTAATAAATCTTTTTCTCATGTGTGCTAAAACAAATACTATATTTTTTATAATTTTTTTTAGGATAATTTATATAACTAACATTATTTATACATTTTTACAACTAACGTAAATTGATTATGAAAAAATTAAAAAATACTATAAATGCCATATCATAAATTTCCAATAAAACTGCTGATTGCATTAATATAATTTCTAGATTCATACAAAATCATTAGAAAACGATAATTTGTCAATACTATTAAAATATAATAGCTAAATATTCAATATATTCTATGGATTTTATATAAAATTCTAGTAAGAAATTTTTACGAAGATATGCAATACTAAAATTAAATATTTACTTCAATTATTTATGTATATACTTAAATATCAAATGCAACACTCAGAAAACAATAACATATTGAACTGAAATATTAAAATTAAATTTATTTTAGTTTATGTTTATGAAAAATATTGAAAATATTCTTTAAAAGTATTTGATTCAATAAATATTATGAATTATTGATTCAGATATGAAATCTTCGTTATTTACTTAAGCATTTAAAATTAATGCAAAATATCAATTTATTTTATTGGGTTTGCTTTAAGTGTAGTATTTTAACTGAAATTGCTTCAAAAATTATTTATTAATAGAAAAATAAAGCGTAATATACCATGGTAATTTCGAAAAAACGAGAGACATACAATTGGTATTACCACAGGAGTGTTATTAGTATTTTGGAACAAAAAAAGACTCATACAATATGTGAAAATTTGACAAATATTATTTAAACATTTAATTTCATTAGCATCAAAAATATAGTTATTTGAAAGAATAATTAAAATATTATTGCAATGCTTAATAGTCCAGAAATGTAGAACAAAATTCAGAAGCAAAAATATTACTCGGGTTATACTTTTTAAAATCAACTAAAAAAGTTGCTTTTTTATATCATTCATTATATCAAAAACAAAAACATGTTTGCTTTGCTTATACACAAAACAAAAACTTAAAACAATATCATTGATTTTGTAGGCCATTCTATTCCTTTATCAGATTTTCGCAAAAATAATCCACTGTGAATAATATTCTTATTCAAACAAAATATTTCTTCTGAAATTAATAATATAATATACTACGATTTTCGTTATGGTGTAGCAGTGCATTTAAAAAAGACTCTGATGCATCTTTATAAGACATTTTGCTACCTTCAAAACTTTTCCACAAACTAATGACAGTCCTGATTCTCAATTTAGTTTATTCAAGGTGAAATCAGTAAAATTGGTTAAAAAATAGGTCAACAAAATTGGTAAATGGCGTAAAAATTGGAATCAGCAACGAAATTAAGAGGCAACAAGTTGAGACAACATGAGACGTCAAACTCTTTCTAAGAAAGAAAGAAAAAACTAAAGAAACTAAAAGCAATATTAAAAACTATTTTTCTATTTATTTATGATTTTAATTAAAATTCTGCAAAGTATACTATAAACATAACAAACTTTTTTTAGTCATACAGTTGAATTAGTAGCTAATGTAACATTTTATAATTTAAAAAAGATATATATTTGAATAGCACATCCATAAAGAACTATTAATTGTCCATTTTAATTATTATTATTTTGAAAATCAAAATTTAACTCGATAATTCAAATAACTTTAAATAACCATTTTGGTACTTTTAGTAATATTTCAATATGTGTTTGATAAAAAAATTTCGTTATTTTGCTATTCCTTGATTTTATAACTACATTTCATGGAAGGAATGAGTAATAAATAATTTATATCCCAAAATAAAAAAATATACTAAATATATTTTTAAAAACAGAATTTATATGTTTACTATTATAGTTCCGACATTTGAAATTTTATCATAGATCATTAAGTGCAATCTACAAGATCATCCGGTGATCTACAAAAGTATATTAAAGGATATTCCAAGATATTAATAAAATTAAAACAAGGTGAGGATGTGGTTTCTGAGACGCACAAATAATTTGCATTTATGGCCTATCACAGGTGTTTTACACCTTTATACGTATTTCTTTGGTTCTTTTTATGTTTGTTGACTCATTTATGAAATGTGTTTCTAATAATTCATTATAATATATCAATAATATCAATCAATATGTATATAATAATAAAATAAATAGTTCGTGCCCACCTGGTTGTAATAAAATTAATAAGCTTTATAAAATATCATTTAAATGATTGAGAAACTTGCATTAAATTTTATTTTAACTTTTGCATTAATAATTATTTTTTCCCGTTGCACATTTAAAAATTCTATGTTTAACAAATTAACAATTCGCATGCTCTACCAATATGTTTTATTCAAAGCAAATATTGTTCTACTTTAAAACAAGTATTTTGAAGTTCATAATAAATTTTATATAAATCTTTAATAAGTTTTATACTAATACAAGAATAATTGTAA